GCTAAAAAGTAATACAATACACATCAGACGAACATTATCACATTAAAAAACACTAGTGTAGGGAAAATACAAGGGTCCAACACAAAGTAATGCACAGCTTCATTTTAATGTATACACCCAAAAAATTCATTAATTTATGCCCACACATACAATGACACTTGCTTAGCCAAGCATACTTAGGGAACATCACTCAATGCTGACAAATGCAAGTCTTAAAAAAATTAAAACATAAGCTGTTATTGATGTTTTCTGAGCCATCTCCCATCTAGGGCTATCCCTAGGGCATCCCATCTAGATAATGCTTAGGTAAAAATAGCCAATAATCATTTAAGGAGAGGGTGTTCATAAGATTTCATCCCCATTTCTCAGAAGCGGATAACCGTATTCAATATCTCTGTGGAATGCGTTATAAATAACTTTAAATCAATGAATAAAAATATAATTTAAATTCAGTATCGACGAAAAAAACTTCATAGAGCAAGATGACATCAAATTGGCTGGACACTACTTCTATAGCTCCACCCCACCTACAAAAATCCTGATTGTACATCTGCAAATAATTATTGTTAATGTATGTTTGCGTATGATAGTTTGGGTCGATTCTCCGTCTCTGTCCAGTAGCTAACGGTGTCCCCCAATGCCAAAATTTTACTTATTTCAATCAGAGTTTAGTGGTTTCACTGCTGAATCTACTCGATCCAAAAGACTTTTCCTAGATTTTGGTCACTAATAACAGGTGGAAAACAGAAGTTGAAGATGTCTTTTCTAGCATTTTCTTAATCTAAACGTTTATTATTCTAATTCACCTTATTTTGAGTGTTAATAAAGTTCTCCATTAAGTTTGAAACGAAAAAACATCAAGAGGAGGCTGAATTATATTTTCATTTCAAATTCACCAATGCCATTCCGTTTGGACTGTACACAATCTGCAAAAGAGAGCTATATATTGACTCTTAAACAAATAGCTAAGGACTTACGTAAAAGACACTATGTACGGCGAAAAAAATTCTAGAACTGAAGAGTTTTTTCCTTATGGATTCCGCTGACCTACAGGCTAGTTGAGCAAACGATATTTGTTCTTTAGCGTCATTAGTGACGTTTTCATAGGGTTCTTTTCGAAGAAACACATAGTTATGATAAATCTTGGAATACATTTCTCGACCACTTGAGCATTATGTACCGACTTATTTTTTATAAACTCTTTTTCTTTAAATATTTTCAATAACGAACCATTAGTAAATCAAAATTATTATTATTATTATTATTATTATTATTATTATTATTATTATTATTATTATTATTATTATTCACCAGTAGTCCAGTAGTTTGAGAATATGTGGTCCTCTATATAGAGGTGACATGTATAAATTATATTTTTAAATAACAAACTCGTAAATTCCGTGGTGGTGGCAGAGATACTATGGTATTGCATGATATTAATTCGGGACTGAGGAGGTATCAACCACCAGGTATTTTACAATACATATTTTAATAAAATAACCCAGCCATGCACGTGTTTTGGAACTACTTTATTCCATCTTCAGTGGCTACACAAAATCCTACACAAAATAAAGGCAATAGAATTAACATTTTGGAAAAAAAACTACAATTCTAAATTAATAGGTCTCCATTTTCCCACTCTTCCTTTTCCTCTCTCAACTTTCCTGTAGTCTCTAACAGTATACTGTATGACATACAAGATGGTGCCGACTTACGATCTACGTGATTAATAAATATGATACCTGGGTACGTATTCTATTTACATAATTTTTTCTTTGTTCTTTTGTCTTTCTGTGTTTATTCTTACTGTAATTATATTTCTTCGTTAATTTTTATATTTGTATAACAACTGAAGATGGAATAAAGTAATCCCAAAACACATATATGGCTGTTTTTCCTTATCAAAATTTATATTGCAATATATTTTGTGGATGATACCTCCTCAATCCTGAATTAATAAAACAAATACATATTTATCTGAAAGAAATGCTTAAAATACAAACTGTTTTCTGCGAGGAATATGAGAAAAATGTTTTTGTATTTTTGTCCGAACATCTGTGGTGAGAGTAGATGTTCTAAAACCAATAAAAATTCTTAAGGCAGAAGGGTAGACATAATATTGTGTCAGGGGATGCCTTTCACTCAAAAAACAAATCCGAATACAGCTCTAAATATCTAACCGAGATATTCCACTTCGTTTTCCATTTACATTTCATTGGCTGAATGTCTTGGAGATGTCTTCGTTGTCAAATGAGACAATCTGTGGTTTTTAGAATTGACATTTCATTCTTTCCAGTCACGATATTGACTTCAAACACATTTTGTCACAAGGAAACAAGCTATAGAGAAGCAATCTGAAATAGGAGACGGGCTGGGTTGTGAAAGGAGAAAAATGAGTTACACTTTCTAATAATACTAAAGGATACTGAGTTCAAAATAAATGCATGTTTTGGAATTTCCCTTTCTTTTGGGTATTAAATTTTGGCAAATGTCTAAATATTGTTTCTTAGTGGTTGTTTAAACGTGTAGTGATTGTCCGAATGTGTATGTTTGTTGAGGTATAAATCATTCTGCCATATGGAATCGAATTATTTTTATTGGTATTGTAATATAGATATTCCTGAAGGCATAACAAGAGCGGGCCAACGTTCTACACCACGCAGTTTTTTTTCTGCGGCTAGAGCGGATTCGCGTTTGCAAGTGCGAAGAAAGCTTTTGCTATGGGTTCAGGATCCGGTTCATGCACGCGTCAGCCGGGGGGGGGGGGGCGAAGACCTGGCTTATCAGTCAAGGCAATAAAGTGATCGGCTCTTCTCACCTCACCCCGCTCACTCGGTTTTTGGTTCTCGCGCTCTCTTGCGGGGTGGACGCGAGGAAGGAGCGAGTAGGGCGGGGAAGGAGGGGGTTGCTTATGGAGGAGATGGGTGAGGAAGGGACGGATGAGGCTTGGTGGGGCGGGGCAGGGTGGAGCCCAGTTGGATGGGGTGGGGAGGAGGAGATTTTGGTAGAGCAGAGATGGATGGGGAGGGTTGAGTCTTTCTGGGGGGAGAGGGGTGAGGCGGGGCAGGAACAGGTGCAGTGGAACATGGCTGGGCGGAGAACGACGGGAGATGGTTTGGGTGCGGTGAGTAGCAGATCGGTGTCGCGCGGCAGAGAGAGGTCGGGAGGGGCGTGGCGGGGAAAAGATGGGCGTGGACAGGGGGAGATCAGAGAGGTGGCGTGTGGGAAGGGCGCGAAGACGAGGAGTTGACGGGGCAGCACGGGGGTGGGTTGGCGCTCCAGAAAACCCGGGAAAGCACGAAATTCTGTGAACGGGCGTCTTTTACAGCGCCGCTCCGTCGTATTTCACGTCGATTGGGCTGAAACAAGCGCCAGCTTTACAGCGTGGTTCCGGCCGTCACTAAACATTTGCTCGTCGAGAGTGCTCCACAGGGCTCTGGTAGTTTCCTCACGAGCCACTTCTCCATTCTGAAAGACTACTGAATATTCTACAGGATTGCTGTGCGAAAAATTAAAGAATTAGCTTAAACTTAACGAAAATGCATATCACTCGTATTTAAAATCAAAGCAGGGTTATTCAGAATATTATTGCCGGCTGAGAAAATACATCAGAAAAAAGAATAACAAACCATCGCTTGACAATTTCCTGTAATGGAAATTTTCTCGAAATTTCTCTCACTACTTTATGCTTGTAGAAGGAATTTGAATTGATTCGAGATGAGCAGTTTATTAATAAATATGTCAAACAGAGTTATATGAACTGTGAACTAAAATCATTTTTTTAAAAAGGCAGGTTCTATTTTCGTTTATGATAAAAGAAACCCAAACCTTTATTACAGTATTTTGCTGCTTCAAAAGCAGCGGGGCATAAACCAATACAATGCGCGTTTTGGCGGCCTTTGCGGCGGTGCTGTATGCTAAGGAGAAATGCTAAGGGCTCCAACTGCGCCCTCGGGGCGTCAAGTGGGGCTTGTTCCTCCGCAGGGGCCTTGTCTTTTGCTTTTCCTTCTTTATTATCTCCTTCCCGGCGCGCTCCGTCGGCCGGGCTCTCGCGTGAAAGCGGTGCGTCCTCTCTTTAATTGGGCCTCGTTCGACGCGCCTTATTAATCGACCTTCTCCCGACTCAGTGCCATGTTGCAATTAGCTGTGGCACTCTCTTGGGAACGTAAGGCTTGTTTTTCGTGAAAGAATCGATTCTTGTTAATTGTAGTATTTGCTTACAGTTATTTATTATTTCAATATTATTTTATTTACTCTACTATTTATTATTGAAATTATTAATTAATTCATATCTTTCTTGTTTGTAGTTCTAAAAATAAAATATTTCTAAAATATTTCTAAATATTTGAATCACTTCTAACACTTCTTCTTCTTCTTCATTTGTTTTCGGTCCTTCAACAGACCGATTTTATCTAGGGTGGTATTTTGTGACTTCTTTTGATGTCTGGAATTATCAACGTGGTCTAAACATATGGTTTGTCCGCGCATTCCTGTGTCCTTTCGCTTATTTGTTTTATTACGAAATCCAGCGATTCTGCGATGTAGTAATGATTCTCTTGTGGCAACTGTAGCTACAATAAAAAATTTCAAAAAGTGTGTTAAAACTATTCTTACAAACTAGACTGCTACCAACCAGAGAGAGAGAGGTCAGAGATAAAAAAGGCAGTAAAGGAAATGACCATTGAGAGTATACAATATTTATTCAAATTTCTTAGTACATCTTTATGAAACTTATTAGTTGAGAACAGATATTTTCGTTCGTGAATCCAACATTGCAAGCGGAAAGTGTATAAAAATTATAGTGGATTTAAATGAAAGATGGGTGCTTTTATAACAGCTCTTTCAGGTTTCTTTCCCGACTCTGAATGGGGCCTGTCTGTATTGAAATGATGCTATCTAGAGTCGCCAGCGGTGGCTAAATGAGAAAAACCATCAAATTACTCGTGGAATTAAGTGACTTTCAACGCCACCCATGAATTTTATTTTTCCGCATGTTTCAGGCAAATGCGGCTCTTCTCATGCTAACGGCCACTTAGTGGACGGAAAGCGCCCTCCCAAGAAGCCTTAACGTGTCATGTGACACTGTATCACCGCACCAGATCCTACGTGTGTTGCATGAGGAGAGCTCAAGATACAGTGATACAGGTATTTACGATGTTATGTTATGAATCGTTATATAATTTAGATTTAATTTTTGGAAAAAAATGTACAGGTGTTCATCCTCGATGGAATACTAGTTAAATGAATAACTTTAAATAAAATCATTAGTGAGGAAAAGGAAAATTATATTTCAGAAAAATAAAATTTGTAACCGTTGTATCGATATTACTAATATTCAATACTCGTAGAAATTAAAAGAAAAATATACAACCTGCTATGGAAGGCATCTACGATTTTATTATATTAGTTTTGATAGAAATAACAAATACTTTGTCGTGTTAGTCGGCCTATTCTGATATGGCGCTTACTGGCTGAATTTTTATACCCAGTGCGTCATTGCTTACGACACAATCGGCAACAAACACAAGGTAGGACTGGAATGAAGAGGCCGTCGGCAATTAAATATTTGTTGTTCACAGGGTCGCGTTGTGAAATTCGCTTTTTCTTCATTTTCCAGTTATATAAAGAGTTGTTGAACTGTTTTTTCATATTTTCTGTACTATTTTATAGCAGTATTTGTGAAGATGTTTTTTGTTAAAATATTTAACTGATTGCCATATTATATAAGAGTATTTTATTTATTGACCTGGAGCGGTGTACTTGCTACTTTTCGGAGAACAATTTTCTATGGTTTTGTTGAGCATCCGTTTTGCTGCTGACTACTAGATTTTCTTTTCGTTTGAAATTAATATATGAATATTATATCAGGCAAAGTAACGATACGGATTTGAGATACAGCAATGAGTTGTATTACACACTTAGCTTGATTTCAGTCTGATGCAAATCAAAAGACCTTTTAAGCTGGTAGTGTTGTTTCGTGATTATAATCTTGTTTTTTTCGTGATTACAGTTGTGTCTATCATTTTGAGCCATATTTTCCAATATATATTTTTGAGTCCGTGTTTTCGATATTATTTCTCCTTATCATTTGCATATTATCTTCCAAACATTTTGAAACATTATTAAACCCATCGCAACTAATGAAAGTGAAAATTAAAAAAGTGGGATATTTCAATAAAACGTTCCTCTATCAACAACATTCGACGCATTTGGCGCTCGACCCTTAGCTATCGACATACCTCGTACTAAGGCTTAAAATATTACGTATAATACAATACTGAAAATATATGGTTAAACTACTAAACATTAGAGACAAAAACCTGAATTTAGAATAAGGATTATGGACATAATACAAGAAGAATAAATTGTGAATTCTCTCAATTACCTTTCCTTTTGTGTTTATTCTTGGGTGCCCGATATGTTTCGTCGCTTATATTCAGTTTTGAAATCATACCTTCTAGTGAAATGAGGGCCTGTTACCAGACTACAAGTGGGAGAACAAGAATGGGTAAGACAACCTGAAAGTCTAACTCTACATCGTTTGATTAACGATCCTTGTACACCGTACCATAGCAAGTGTATTTTCCTCTATTGATACCTGCGCGCTCTTGCCTTCGTCTTGCAACGGGTAGTGGATATTTCAGTTCGGGGGCGCGGGGCCCCGAGTTGAGTGAGATTTATGGCATTTCCGGTCTGTGCCAACGAGCTCGTGTATCTCTCACAAAGTAATTACAGAGGTTTGCTCTGATGGATTTCGGTGGCTTGTAACGAAGCGGGCTGTTAGGTGCCGTCGAGGTGTAATAGAGGACGGCGTTTCTTTCTTTCTTACTGCTACCAAACGATTTCTCTGTTAAACTGAGTACTACGATCAGATAAGTGAACACGACGTATTTATTTTGTGTCAGGAACATCCTCTTCAATCAAACACAGAATACACCGCCAACACTTCCCCCACTTTAATCCCTAGAAGCAGCTGTATTACTCTTACGTTTAATTTTTTGCCAATGAAAAAAACATAGAAAAATAATAGCACTCTGTGGGGTGAGGATAAAATCTGGTCACTTCTTTTGGAAGTTGGAGAAAATAACTTACTTCGTGGAAATTTCTTCGAAATTTTCTCTCTTGCCGTTCTTCTCAATCAACTGCATGTCTCCCATCTTTGTGCTATTTTTTTCTCGCAAAAATCCATTATCATCATCATCATCATCATCATAATTTCATCTTTTTTAATTACAAACATTTTTCAAGTTTTAAAAAGATTAGTTCACAGTCTACATTTGTATTGTTGGCTTAATAAAAACTTAATGCTAACAACTTAATGCTAAAAATCACATTTTTTATTGAAGAATTCTTTATGGGGAGACCTCAGGAGAATTATATTTCGGAAAAATTTGTAAGGAAGGTATAGAAGGGAAATTTATTTTTAATACGGATATCATGAGTGGGTTTTCTGCCTAACCGGATGGGGCATATTCTGGTGATTTGAGGTACGCTGTGGTAAAACTGTGTGGAGAGATATGTTGTGGTTTTCTATATGATGTGGTTTCCTATGATGTGGATGTTCCCTCTCACTTAGAGAGGGAAAACCGCTGGCGTCGGATGTCACATTCCAGTGAAGTAGGAAAACCTCTACCAAAGGATATAAAATGCACTACACTTCGTAGTCTAAGCATCTAAGATGATTTTGCATCCAATATCAATGAATACTCATTCATTCATAATCATACCAAAATGTATATTTTACTTGGGTGACTGAAAGGTGTGCTGAGGTTCTTGTTGCAGAATCTGACCATTTCGCCATCTCCAGAAGAAATTCGAGCCAAATTCAATACGAAAATAATTTACTAACTTGTACCCAGATGATATTGATTTGCTACTAAAATAGCAAAATGAATGTGTGAAAACCAGAATGGTATAAGTGACACTTAATGAATTCTGAGAAATCTGTTCAATTCAATATCGCTGTAAAGTCGCGGTGCTTTGTTTCATCATTAAAAAGTACAGCATTTCAATTGTTCATTATAACCACGAAAGAACATTGCCCCTGACATGTAGCCTAAAATAAACACGTTTTTCGCAGAATATATAAAATTCACTTGCACCATTATGGTTTTCACCCATTCAAAATGTAAATTTAATAACAAGAAGAAGAAAATATATTTTCCTCAAATTTAAATCAAATTTTAATTATATTTCGTTCAGTTCATTGATAATTGCGTCACGTAAAAAGGAATATTCATCACCATTTACCTAAAATAAAAATTTGACATAACAGAAGTTTTTAATCTGGAGCACGTAAGCGGACACAGTGATTTCGTGATGTCTTACCTACACTTACTGTGCCTTGCCCATCCGCTCAGTAATGGTGCTCTGTCAATGGCCACGTATAACTCTTGACTGTGGTGGTGACGGTGGGTGGAGTTGTTGGCTAAGGAGTTGGAGGGAGGGAATTTCGATGCCCTAAAATATCTTGAAATATGCATTTAAAAATATGCATTTACGACCTAAAAATTCTGAAATACGCACTTTGATATGCAATTAAAATTAATAATATTTCATTTTCTGTATAAACATTTGTTGATAAAATTTCAAGAGCAGCTTGCTTGGAAAGAAAAGATATATTTTTGTGCCAACATAAAAGAATCAATCTTACCTTTAGGGAGAAGTAAATGAGGTAAATATTCACCTTAGTGAAGTATATTTAAAAATATATCAAGAAACATCCTATATTTGCACAAATATTTAATATGATCTAAAGAAAAGAAGAAAAGCACAAACTGTGATCAGCTCCTTTTAATAAACTAACGCTCACAAATAAATAAAAAAAATCTATAAAAAGTCGAAAGTTTTAAAGAGACAGGTTTCTATTTTACAAATGCAAAATATACACGAATATGCTCCAACACGAAATGTTCGCCAAATATGCACCAGCATATCAATTTACATAGCATTCAATTGTAACCAAATGTCACGAAATTTCACTTAGCTAGGCCCTGAAACAACAGACCAAAATATGCAAAATCTTAGAAATCCGCTTCGTAGTGGTAAGGACTGGTGGTAATGATCGGGATGGCGACGTTGGCAGCTAAAGCGTCCCTCCGCCGACCTGTGTTTGATCAAATGATCATACATTCACTAGCTAGTCTCGATGAACTACTTGAATATAAGCTTCAGTTTGGGCCACTAAGCCTTCCATACGTACTTCTACATACACGCTAAATGATTGGATTGAAATGAAAATCGCGCGAGAGCAGTGCAGAAGTTAGGATTTATTTTGTAATGTAATTGGATCGAGTTCATGTAGTGCAGGTTTTGGTATTATTGATAAGCGCATTGTGTTTTCGCAAACTGACTCTGAATACCTAATATATTGATAAAACCAGATGTTGCTAATGAATATCAAGATAATACTTGAAAATATTTGCCATAGAATATTCGTTGGTTAAACTGAAGTAATGAAGGTTATACTCGTATATTTAATTAAATAATACATAAATTATAAAATAAATTATATAAATAATTAATAATTATTTTTTTTAAATTATTTCCTGACACATTTCAATAATTTTAATTCTTCTTTTAAACTACAATTATCATTTTTGTGGAACAACCAAAATATCTAGCATGCTCTACAATGATTATAATACATCAGCTGAATGCTTGCGAACGCCAGTGAGTCGATTGATGAAGAGGGGAAGTGATGTTAATATGAATGCTGAATGGTAATGTGGAATGTGAGGCAGAAGAACTGAGAGAATAAACCATGGATTTGGAAGCAGGTACCCAAACGTTAAACACTAGTGTGCTCTTCCGCTATGCTGGTTATTTTCAATCTATGGTGATGATGATTAGGACGATGATGACTACGATGATGACGACAATGTTGACGACGATGACGGTGATAATGTCATCGACGATGATGACGACGGCGATGATGACGATGATGAATGCCTTGCTTAGAACCGAGCGTAAGCGAGGTAGAAAGGTTACGACTTTCTGAGCTGCTATTTCTTTGTAAGTGGCCACATTGGCGGTGTACCACTGTTCTTTCACTATGAGAATATGAAAAGGATAGAAAATGAAGAGTGAAAGAGAATGACCGATGAAAGTAGGATGCTCATATAGGTGACGTTTTGATTC